ACCTTAGTCCTCAAGATGACATCTTAGCCGTTGAACACTTTAAAGACATCTTGAGCAACAGATTTTCCTAATGCAAGACATTGTTTTGTTTCTTGACTTATGCTTCTTTGAGTGTTGATGGTAGATGCAAGCAAAATAAAGTGTTTGACAACTTCAATCTTTTCTCCATTGATATGGAAGTTATTTACTAGTCTAGTGGTGAGGATTTTTGTTTTCTTTACATTGAGGTACAACCCATACCAAAGCCTGTGGTCTTTGATGTTCATCTATGTTGCTGCCCCTACCTCATGGGGAACACAGGACAACCGTTTGAAACTGCCTACCAGAGTGGACTTTTACATGTGAGAGAATCTCTTATTTCAGCTATTGTGATTTGTTTATACTCAATGCAGCCTCATCAAGAGCTTAATAATTTGTCATTATCATTACTGTTAAGTGTCAGAGGAATATGATTGATATAAAGTGAATTTAAGAATTCTCTGATTTCTGTAAGCTTTGAGAATAAGACATTTATAGGAAATTGAGAAGCAAAGCTGTTGCATAAAGCTCTAGTTGAAGACAACTGCTCTATCCTAGCATGCTTTTGGATAAAGTAACTTGACACAGAAGAGATCTGCTATTTGTCTAGATAAAGTTAAAGAACTGTGAGTTCCTGGTTGCTGGGCCTGGACTCTATCATGCCCAGACACGACCTCCTGAAGTGAAAATGCACTATGACATCTTGAACATTTGTATCTCCTGCCATTCTTTTCAGGGAAACAAAATGAGCTGCAGATTATTTTCTGATTAAAGAACTTTCAACACGGCTCATTTTCACAAAGAATGCCACAAAAACGTCATGGATGTAAAACAGCGGCTTACCATTGAAGAACATTTGACCTTGCACTAAAAATAGTTACTGGCTACATTTATCATTAGTCTGTAAATAAGTTTGCATTCTCACACACAGATTCTGCTTAGATCGGAGTTTCTGCTTGCATAGTCCATGTGATCAAGTCTGTTTATGGTCAAGTTTCTATACTCATCAGTACAGCACTTGCAGAAGAATTGCAGGAATCTCAATAGAATTCCTGAGGGTACAATTCTATGTATCTTCAGTGGAAGAGCAGTGAAATGGTCATTTATCTAAATAACGAGGGCTTGAAAGACAGGACTGAATGGAAGCCTGAACACTGGAAAATGGTTAGAGGGTTTGGCTTTTGGAAAATGGGTTTTGATGTAGAAGAATGACATGTTACGTTCTCTAAAGAGAAATACACCTAAAGAAAGATACAGGGATACTTTATCGCTATAAATGCCAAAAGGTGTACAATGCTAAAGACAAAAAGTGGTTAAATGTTTTACTTCCTGTACCACTGAAGTTACCTGTATAAGCAATACTGTTTTTGTTTTATTACAACATTGTTGACAGCAAGGGTGATTTTTCTAGGGTCAGGGACTTAATCACTGCAGGTTCCAAATCCCTGACACTTCTTACCATGTATTAGATGTAAACCTCCCCCTCCCCACCCCCTAATTCTTGATGGACTGAATGGATGAGGTTTGCTTCTAAGAACTGTGATTTCTGGTAAACAGAATGAAAAAAATGAACCAATTTATTTGGTGATCTCAGAGGAGAAACAGTTTGCATCAAAGGTTTTCTTAAATAATATGCAAAGGTGATAATTAATTTCCAGGAAGTTGTTGATAAAGAAAGTCACTTCATAATCCATTATATATATATAGTCCTGGTGTGGAGCTGTGGGTTAATGCACCGGATTGCAAAGCCATCTGAACTGCAAGATTGGCAGTTCAAGCCAACCAGCTGCTCCTCAGAAACCCTATACAGGGTCGCTATGGCTATGGCACTTAATAATAACAACATATATATATATATATATAT